AATTTACGTACAAACTCACACACAAAACTGATCTTTCACATCCCAGACATGTTAGACATAGGTTAGGTGGGAGTCTAGAGCGACAAAAAAAATTCTACGTTCGATGGTAGCAAGAAATTTGGTGCTGGTGTACAAAATACACCAGCGCGAGTAATCAAGAGTTAACAGTATATTTTGAAAAGTGTGAATTCTTCAGAGAATCATTGAAATATTTGGGATTTATTATCGGTAAACTTGGTCTGAGAACTGAACCTAAAAAGGTGGAAGCAATGATTGAGTTTCCACAGCCTCGGAATTCTAATGAAATAAAACGTTTCACTGGAATGTGCACAAGAAGAAAGGTCAAAAAGTCACTTGGTCCAATGAAGATGATCAGGCTTTGTCATATATGAAACAAGCATTAGTTTTTGCATCCATTTTGTCAAGCTCAGATTTTTCTGTCCCACTTATTCTATAGTGCGATGCATCTGATTCAGGGCTAGGTTCCGTTTTAACTCAAATACAAGATGATCAAGAGACAGTGATAGCTTTTGCTTCACGTAGTTTTTGGAAAAATGAACGTTACTATACTGTAACTGAAAAATGCTAAGCTGAAATGTTAAGCATGTATATTTGCTCGTGAAAAATGTCTGGGTTATATTGAGGGAGTGCATTCAACTTCAATCACTGATCACACTTCGCACAAATTGATGTTTGGAATAAAAAAACCAATTGGAAGAATAGATAGGTGGAGTGTCAAGTCAATTCGATTCTACCATAGAGCACAAAGCAGAACGTTTAAACATTGTTCCTGATGCCCTGTCTCAGAGTCCAGTAGAACCAGCTACATAATATGATATTGACCATTGTTGCGCACTAGAAGGTTAAATCGACAGAATTGATTTAAAAATCAGTTTAGATGAGCTAGATTTTTCTTATGAAAATTTGAGGACTAAAATTTGGAGGAAACCTGGAAGTTATCTCAAGTGGTCGGCAAGAAATGATTTCGTTTATAAATTAGTACCGTCACAATGCCCTGTGAATACAAATATATCAGACTGAAAACTCTCAGTACCAAAGTGTCAGAGAATTCAAATTATCAGGTCATGTCATGATTGTGTGACGACCATTGGGGCCTTCCTCCCCGGCTGCGTGATCTTAGGGGGTTATGCTTGGCAGCAAGAGGGTGTCCTAACTACCACAATCTCGTAACTCGATTGTGGCAAGGAAAGAGTGCATGTTTAGTTTAACATAAATTTAAGTTTTATTGAACGATAAAAAAAAAGTGAACGAGTGAGCAACATAAAGAGGTTAAGTGGGACAAAAAAAAGTTAAGTGAAGTGACTAACCGCATCACATATTTGGTTACTATGAAACCATTTCTAGAATCGCTTCAACTTACTGCTGGCTTAAAATGAGGCACGATATTTTTGAGTACCTGAAATCTCATAAAGTTTGTTCTGCTCAAAACTCTCCAAATTATGCTGAGTTTGGCTCGATGAGCGCAGAGAAAGAGGTTCGGTTTCCTTGGCAAGTAATAGCCCTTGACCTCATGGGCCCTTCACCACGAACTTCAAGTATCCGGTATTTTCCCCTCCTCGTGAAGCTACTTCAGCGAATATAATCAAATTCTTCAAAAATAATATCTTTCTCGTCTATGGGGTCCCAAAACATAACATTTGCGATGATGGTAAGCAGCTTATTAGTAAGTCAATCAAAGATATTGTCGAAAGTTATGACCCAAATATCCTGTATACAGCTTACTATCATCCTCAGGCAAATTATGTTGATAGAACCAATAGAACGATTTGCACTGCTGTTCGAAGTAATATCAACAACAATCATAAATCATGGAATGAAGAGTTAGCAAAAATTAGTTATGCAACGGGCACAAGTGCTCTCGAAGTTACGGGGAACAGCCCAGCATTTTTGAATTTTGTTAGAGAAGTACCTGGTACGACCTGGTAGTGGTCGATATTATGGGAGGGGTGACGTAGATATGGATTGGTTAACCGTGATTATTGGAATCAAAATTTGGAGAAAATGTTAGAAATTCATAGAGATGTTCAGATTAAACTACATGCTGCACATCAGGAGAACGCTATGTATTATGATTTATGCCGACGTACTGAAGAATTTTTTTCTGTGTCACTTTTCATAATTTTTTTTTTCCTGTGGAAAAGTAGTGGGTACTTTTTTCTCGGATATATATCACATATATATACACTGTTGATAGTTTTTATTGTGCTATAGTTCCGAACAATTAGTCAATGATACCACCTCCAAGAAAGAACTGCAAGTACTTTCATCCTCCATTGGACTTCGTGGTTTTGTATATAACTGAACAACCACTAAATTCGCAATTTTTTGAATCAAATCACAGAATCAGACTGACAGAATTGACATCAGATATTTGATTACTTCAAAAGAATGATAAAGATGCCTACAACAGAGGTGTCCCTATTGTTTAATAGTTGAAATTTCACGTCGATAATTTTCAGATTTCACAATGATGTAATATCTTCTCAATATTGATTCTTCCTCCCTTCTGTCACAGTGAAAAATTGTGTATTATACACGGGAACAATATTAGATTTAAGCTCATGGTTTTTTGTATTCCTCCGCTACGCGTCGGGAGACAACACAACCTGGAGCTTAACGTTTTGAAGAAAAATAATGTTCTGTCGAATGCTCGCAATGATTTTTCTCAGAAATTAGCTCTGGTGTTATATACTTTGTACAGTGGCTGAGAAGGAGTCAAAATAAGTCTACGTTTTGAAGAACGAGAATGGTACTGATGCTGAAGTTTGGCACATACAAGACTTGGAGCGCTGTAATGGGTCTTTGTCTGATCTTTTTGTTGTAGGAGATTCGGGATCAGAAGCATAGGTTTAGTGATTTGTCAATTTTCACTGCATCAAATCTGTTACACTCAAATTTCTCTTTCAGGAATTAATTTGTCATATAGTGCATTTTCTTATTTTTTTCTTGATTGAACTGAGTGGCGCTCCTTGGCACTCAACAGGGTAAATAAAGAACTCACAACCACTGCTCACCTGACGAAGAGCTGCCGTGCCTTGTGAGCATCTTTTGCAAGAATAAAGTTCATGCAATAATGTTGGGAACAATCATTTTATAACTGCATATTCGAAATTGCATTACTTCACCACACTCGCTCGAAAAATTTTAGAACGTGCTTTGAAAAAACAGTGAAGAAATAAAGTGCCAAATACTGCTTAACGTTTACTACGAATGACTGTGGGCTGTGGAACTGTAGAGTGTGGAAGTGATAGGGTTAGGGACGCGGAACGCTGCAAGTACACAAAGAAGCATCACGATATGAAATGACTAAGTATATGTACCACTTTTTATGATACTTCCATGAACATAGGCAGAAGGTACTTGATTGAAATTGTCCTTTTTTTATCGCTTGGAGCGCACGAGAGGGAATTCCTATAATGTTCAGAGAACATCGTGCGTTCCTAAGGAGGATAGGGACAGGAGGTAGGTATTGAAATATTTTTTGAACTTCTGGAGATTATAGGTTGTTGGGAATACTTCCACAATGAATTCCGGAGCCTAGCCGTTTCATGGATAAAGGAGTCTTGATGAAGTGCTGTTCGACATCTTTCGAGGTTGACAACGAAAGGATGTGCTGACTGGGCTAGTCTAGTTCGTCTAATTGGAATACTTAGGAATACTTCCGTTGGCGAAGAATACCGAAGCTCCGTCGTTTCATAGACAAATGTGATTTGGAGAGGAGTTGTTCGACGTTATTCTAGATTGACGACTGACTCAGCCTGTCGAGTACGTCTGACGACTGATGTACCAAAATTCATGTCAGCTTTGCAGTGATTACGAAAAACGATACAGAATGATGCAGTCGTTAACTAGAGGGCATTATCCTCTATTGAAATAGATTTCATCAACTTCTAATCATCATTAGGCTAAGCATATTAGGAAAATAAAGAGGGTTCAGAGGAAAGTTTTGCTATAGTTTTGATATTCTCCATTCCCATGTTTTTTGGGTTGCTGATCATGGATTCGAAGTTTGCTGGCAAAATTTTCGCCCGGAACTTTGTTTTTTTGGCACCTTTTTGCCAAAATTTCGACACTTTTTTCAGTTTTTGGCCTATATTTCAGGAAGGAAACATTTTTTCGACAAGATCATTTGGTATAAAATGAAAGGAGATGAAATTTCCTAATTTTTTTATACATAACATTTTTTTGTTAGACTGATTTTTCTGCCGCTAGAGAGCGCCAAAAAAGGCCATATTCCTAATATAGTGAAATTCACTCTGATACTGTTAATATTGGTCATGAATGATTCAATGAACTCGTGTTTTGTATGTATGATGACAAATGCTGAATATAAAGTTCTGAATTTTTCTTGTCCTACGATCTGGGTCCGTACTCCTTCTCCATATTTGAAAATGTTTTGAGAAAGGGAACGAAATCTGCTCTGTACAAAGTATTCGAACCCATAAAAAATAAGTCGTTCAGCGAAAAACTGCAATATGTCATCGACGGTGGATTCTTACTGCACAGTTTTTTGGCCCGAGAAGCAATCCTTTTCTGCAATATGTAACAGGTATGTTGTTACTATCTATGTGCTGAATGGTTGAAGAGGTCTATGAAATCGATTTCCGCAGACATTCTCTTCGATGAAAACGTGATACCTACCATAAAGAAAGAAAAATTCCTATCCAATACAAACAACAAAAGAAGATTGATTTTCATGATCATAGGGAAGTTCTCAAAACATGATATGGAGACAGGCCACAGAATATGCCGATACCGTCATTGTCAACAAAGCCCTGTCTTTGGCTGGACGTACTGAGACTGAGGTGGTGGTTGTTGGAGAGGACATCGACCTGTTGGTCATCCTTACGGGTCTTTGTCTACGAGATAACGTATTCTTCCTGAAATCAGGGAGGGAAAATGTTCCTCCAGCCACCTACTCTCCTATGCATGCTCTGACAAACAAAACCATAAGAGAAAGCATCATGTTTCTTCATGCAATGAGTGGTTGTGATGCAACTTCAGCACCTTACAACCAAGGAAAGTTAAAGTTCGTGAAAACTATCACCAAAAACCCCAACATTGCCGATGTTGTGAGTGTGCTCAAAAACTCTGAGGCAACTCCAGAAAGCATTGCAGCAGCAGGGGAAAGATTCCTAGTCAACGTGTACGGCTGCACAGGAAGGACTGAACCGTCGATAAACCGTCTGAGGAATATTAATTATAAAAAGGCAGCTTTCAAGACTTCATCAAAAAAAGCTGCACTACCACCATCAGCTGCTGCAGCCACACAGCAAAGTTTCAGGGTATATCTCCAGGTGCAGCAATGGCTATAGGAGTTGAGAAGAATGCCAAAGATTGGGGTTGAAAACGAACAACAAATGGCCTGGAACCGATCACTTCTCTACAATCCCCCGCTCCTCTTAAACTACTGCGTCTGGTGTCATGTAGATGCATCAAGACGTGCGCAAAAAAATTGTAGTTGCAAAAAAGCAGGCCTCGATTGCACAAATCTGATGTGCGTCAATTGTGAGGGGTCCTGCAACAATGTGACAATCGAGGCAGATCTCAGTAATCCCCTTGATGACGGGACATATTCGATGTTGGAGTACAGGACGAACTGGGCTTCACCTTCTCCCCGTTAGTTGAGACCATCGAAAATAGTATGGACAAGGAGGATGAAGGTAAGTAGCATTTCCTTCCTTAAAAACGACAATCACACTCTTGGAGCATAATATGTATGTACTAAGATGAATTTACCCATATGTTCTGATCATTGCAGACCTCCACCACCTGGGAACATATGGAGAATAGATGAATAGACTGAAGAGGATGTGAAATTTCCTTGAAAAATAAAGGTATGTACAACAGTATTCTCAAAAGTGAACGTGCAAAATAATACTTACCCCGCCTATCAAAAAATCCAAGAAATAATATATTTGTTTGTTCCAGATGATTATGGCAGTCTAATTTAAGACAGCAGCGATATTCATGATTTTAATGATATGAGTACATGTTATAATACTTTCGACAGTACACTGCAGATAACTTCTTAGTGAGTTATACATGCATTTCATTCGTTTGTTCCATTATTTATATTACGCTCCCTTTATTCATTATTCAGGTAGGTCTAGGTCCGGGAATATGTCTTTTTCGGCGCGCTCTAGCGGTCGAATGGTTGGTCTCACAAAAAAAAATCCACAAAAAATGAAGGACATTTTGTCTACTCTTACTTTGAATATTGTACGCTTTTCGAAAAAACGGTTTATTTCTGAGATATAGCCCAAAAACTGAAGAAAGTGTCAAAATTTGTGCAAAAAGTGCCAAAAGAACGAAGTTGCGGACCAAAATTTTGCCAGCAAACTTCAAATTCATGATCAGCGACCTAAAAAACATGGGGGGTGAGAAAATCAAAACTATAGCAAAACTTTCCTCTGAGAATCCTAATATGCTTAGCCTATATCTCACATCACGATGTTAGAAGTGTAATATATGAAATAGGTTCATGTAATATAAGATAGACGAGGTGACAAAAGTGTATGACGACAAATTTGTTTCGATGTTTTCCTGATATTAGTGGTGATGATTTACAACTCTTCCGGTGTCATTTAAACCAGTGATATCAAAAAATACACTGGTTTGATTATCAATCCCATTACTAGGTGAATATTTTGAAAATAAATCAATTGTGTGAATATGGGTTGTTCGTCAAATTGATATAGTACGGTGTTATTAACCTAAAAAAAGGCCTAACCTTGACATCCAAAGTAAAAGTTTTATTCCAACTCCAAATTGTTCTATATAACCCTCTTATTGTTTGGTAAAAAGTTACACCATTTTGAGCGTCGGGTTTGGGGGGAGGGGGGGGGGGAATTTGAAAAATCACTAGTTTTTTTAGTTTTTCGTAAATATTTCAAAAACTAAGCGGTTTATCCTAAACATTGTTGTATACAAAAATGTTCTACGTTGAATTTTAAATAAGAATGGTCCTTTTCATAATCACTCTAAATTGTACGGTTCAAGAGTTACAGACGGTGTAAATGTTACCTTTTTCGTAATTTTGATAATTTTTTCAAAAAATAAGCTTCGTAAAAGAATGTTGCTATTTCAGTGGCCGGTGATATGTTAGTGATAAGCCCTTGAAGAAACGACAACCTCACCACCTTATCAAGGGGCACTCTTTTTTATGGGAAAAGAGGCTTCCACAGGCATAGGCCATATAAACCTGTGGTACGGAGAAACCCACCCTGAACTTTCTACGAACATTGCAACATAAATTCACTTCTTAAGCATAAATATCTTTCAAATTTGGAATGGAATTATTAACTTCACTCATCCTCCAGCACATTATCCTCCTCCTCTAGCTCGTCGTCTAAGATGTTATTATTGTCCATGTTATCACATGCTTGGCCTGAGCAATTGCTACATATGCTAGTGCAGTTCAGACCACTTCTTCTGCATTCACAATTACGAACGCATTCATCTTTGCAAGTACACATTATAAGGGACAGTAATTCCTGGGGGGCTGCAGGACGTGCTGTTGTAATTGGTGTCAGGTGGTCGCCAATCTTCTTCCAACCCCACTCGAGTGGATCCTTATCTTCATTCAGCCACTGTTGTACCTGGTGGTAGGTCCTAAATGAATGCTGTCTGGACGCTCCTGAAGTGGGGGGTAGTGCATCCAACTTCAGTAATGCATGTAAAGGCTGCTTTGCAATCGCTTTCGAGTAGGACTGGTAGCGGAGACAATCTAGATCTTCAGTGTTCTTGGCTCCAAGCATTGCAAGTAGGAAGTAATTTCCTGCATCAGCCACTGCACTGGGGTCGGCTTCGGGGTTGTTGAAGACCAGAAGTTTTTCACGAAGAACGTTGTTGGCTTGAACTTTCCTATAAGGTGCAATTTTTCCCTTCTTATAGACAGCAGACTCCGTGTCACATCCTGTGAAGGCGTATGTAACCAGAAGTACATCTTTCATATCCCCAATGCCTTGCTGAATGTCAGAAATAATGTACACTTTTTCCTGGTAATTTCCAGTAGTGATACAAAGCCGATTGATCGTCAGAGCCTCAATAAAATGCCGCTAGTTAGCGTTGGCGCTGGTGTCGCTGGTGTCGCTGGTGGCGCGAAGTTCAAATTTGCAGATGGCGGCGGCGCTGATGGCGGTAAATTTGAAATTGTGAGGTTATGACATCTTAATCATGATGAATTTTTAAATAAATAAATTAAAAAAAGCTGTCACCGCCGGTGGGGGAAATTGAACCAGGGACCTTTGCAATATGAGGCAGCGTATATACGCACTGCGGTATTCCGACCTCCGTGATATTTCAATTATTTAAATGCTATTCAAACGGGATATCCATAGCTGGCGCGCGCGCGCTTATCTTTGCAACGGATCCATCGAGGTAGAGTGAAGCGAGAGATGCATTCCAGAGATAAGAAACTTCGAGTCGAAAATAATATCCATCGCTGGCGCGCGCGCGCTTATCTTTGCAACGGATCTATCGAGGTACAGTGAAGCGAGAGATGCATTCCAGAGATAAGAAACTTCGAGTTGAAAATAATATCCATCGCTGGCGCGCGCGCTTATCTTTGCAACGGATCTATCGAGGTAGAGAGTAAGGCGGCTCGAGCGCGCGGTGCTGCAACGTTGTCGGACGTATGTGTTTGGATGTTAATATTGTTACATTATTGTGTGTGGCAACGCTGTCTCGCTTCATGGCGTTCGAAGATCTAGCAAAGCGAGAGATCCCTTAGAATGATAAGCGCGCGCGCGCTCTCTCTCGTATTGGAAACAAATACTTGGATTATTTATTTATTTTAAAGTGGGTGACGTCATGCCGTTACTTTCATAGCGTTCGAAGTTCCAGTAAAGCGAGAGATCCCTTAGAATGATAAGCGCGCGCTCGTATACCCATTCCTCAAACTGCGACTTTAATGACAATAACAAGATTGAATTTTCATATACAGGGCGTTTGAGTTGATTGATAATTGAGAAAAAATATATATACAGGGCGGCCCATGGGGGTGAAAGAATACGAAAACGAAGATAAATAATCTATTTATTTAAGTAATCCTTTTCTACAAAAATGACATGCCTCTTGAGAAGATGGCGGTCCATCCCAGTGTGTGGTCCAATCGGGACGATTATAATGAACGAAGCATGGCAGTTTGATTTGTAGGTTAAAGTTGCTGCGATATTCTTGAGGAAGTTTGTGCCACACCCTTAATAGTCCATAAGGATCTGCATATTCAATGAGACATTCTACTGGAATGTACTGCAATTCTTGTTCAGTGAATTTCGTCAGAGTCAAAGCGGGAGATTTTATAAACTCCAATAGCACAGCTATTTCAGACTTCATGATTTTTCGAGCAGAGCTAAAATATTTCAGATGCTACTAGTTTCGCGTCAAGTTGTAGACTGATGAAATAAATAAAAAACGAGTCACATATTTCAAAGGTTTTTATTCAAATCAGCCATCAAATCATTTTTACAGTAATATAGATATTCTCTGAGAGCGTTACTAGACATGCTATCGCAAACATCACAAAACCCTAATATAAGCTCTTGTGCACTCAAAACAGTCAGTTTATTTTTTATCCATTCAGCTATTACATTCATAATATTCTGATAAAACATAAAAAAGTCCAAGTCATTGATTAAATTAACTCGATGTGAAACAATGCACATTTCAGCACTCAAAATGTCTGCAACATCTTCCTCCATCAGATCGAATATGACGTGGTATTTGGAGAGGGTCAACATTTTGACACCATCGCAGACATGTTTGGCTACGGTAGCATAGTCTCCACAAGCAGTAATGATCGGCTCATATTCATCAATAAAACCAGGTAGGGGTTGTTCAAAAAAGTCTTGTTGTGCCTTATGCAGCAAATCGATGAAGGTGGCCCATTCGTAAGTACTGAATGAAATTTTCGCTGGGTAGAAGGGCTTTTTCAGAATGATGGCCGGACTAAATTGTCTAGCTGGACTGAGTCCACACTGGATTGTGTAAGTGGACAACTGGAACGATGTATTCAGCAGGTGGTGTGATTCGGCTTTCGCTGCTTGTTCAATCATGTCCAAATATGTGTTGACATCACCATAATAACCCATCATTGATGATGATGATCTAGAACTACCGTCTTCGAAAAGCACTTCACTAGATGAATAACCAGAGTCTTCACTCATTGTTCTCGAACTGATGTGTTGAAAGTTTCAGTCCTCCTTATTTATACCATAACTGTTGACTGATCATAACATCCGGCAGATTGGAATAACAGGTTATTTGTTAGTGATCGATGAAAGGCCCTCTCATA